CCCCAAAACCCCAAAACCCCAAAACCCCAAAACCCCTCTAATTTATAAATAATTGAAGTCCCGCACTTTATAATAATAAAAATAAATGCCAGGGAGTAAATCAAAATACAAACCAACTCTTCGGACTTCACATCTTGACCTCATCTGTGGCAAAAAGAGAAACAGAGATGATGATTATGAAAACAGAGACTCTAACGTAATGAGTGCCAAAGATGAAAATACTGTCCAAAGGAAGCTCAAAAGAGGTATTAGGAACGCGAGAAGGACAGTGCCAAATCCCGCCGAAGTTGCTTCTGCCTCAAAAAATTTCTTTTTAGTCTCCTCAAACGGGAAATTCACCTCACAGTCTAGATTCAAGACTGACGTTGGGAAAATTTCTCATTCTGAGAAGAACAAATTATCTTCAATTCTGGGAAAGGCTGATTTAGACTTTATTCAGCTTCTCAAAGAGGAAGAGAACAATGACGCTCTTCGCGAATTGGAAGAATTCCCGGTTCCAGTTGAGAATATATACAATAACCCACTTATAACAGGAAGCCAGCTTGGGAGGGGAGTTCAAGTAACCCTCGAGTTCAAGAACAATAAAGTCAGGAGAAGGGTCAACGCTGAAGAGGAACAAGAGATCGAAGATGACCAAGAAGAGGAAATCCTTGATGATTACAGACACCTTCATGAAAAACTTCGGGAAGTTGAGAGAAAGTACAAAAAGCCATCTGAAGAAATCGCTGATATTTATGTCAAAGTCAGCGGGGATTTTGAGAACCTTGAGAGATACTTCCAAGGAGAGAATGTTATCCTCTGGTCATATCTGGAAGACCTTGCCTTGACCAAATCGGAAGACTCGATGGAATACAAGTGTTTGATAGAATCTAAGGGAAAATCAGAGATTGAGAAAAGAAAGAGGTTCTTATTAAAGTCTGAACAGAATGATCCAGAGTATTAAACATGCTAAGGTCAATCTACTAGCTCTTCCTTGTGTCCAGGCTCAAGAGAGGGTGAAAGAAAATGGTAGAATAAAGCTAAATTTCAAGCAAAACGTTGTCTAAAGGGGTTTTGGGGTTTTGGGGTTTTGGGGTTTTGGGGTTTTGGGGTTTTGGGG